TAAGGTTCCCGCAATCTTTTAAACTCAAGGAAGTAAGTCTATCCAAAACTCCAATTGAATGGTGAATCTCCAACAAAGATAAACAACTTTCAAGCAACAATATCTCCATCCTTGGTAACCCAGTGAAGTTTGGGGTTCTTGTCAGGAATTTACAATGACTAAGATTTAGGACTCTTAGATTTTGCACCAACTGATAAATCAAAGAAAAAAATGTCAAGATAAGGGTTTCCATTTGTTTAAAGATAATCAAGGGTATAAAATTTTTTTTACCTTGCTATCTGGCCAAAGTTGTTTGATGTTGCTATGTTGCATGTCTAAAACAACAAGTTTTTTGAGTTGAAAATTGGAAGGTAAATTCTTCAGAGGACAATAATGCCAACAAAGCCATCTTAACTCTCCAGATAGATATTCAAAGTTTCCGGTGAGACGCACATTGTTGATCCGAAGTAGTCTTAATTTCTGCATCCTTGCAAATGATTCAGTCCTAAAATCTACATCCTTTAAGAGTGGCAAATCCAAAACAATACCTTCAATTTCATTTGTGCCCTAAATTTCATAAAGGAAATGGGTTTTTATAAGTAACTAACTAGATATAGGCATCAACCACACACACAAAGCATGTTGTGTATGTCGCAAACTATATGAGTATATACACACACACACACATATATATATATATATATATATATATATATATATATATATATATATATATTAGTTTCTACTCTCCTTCTCTCTTAGTTTTTCTAGCAAAGCCAGAACACACACACATACATTGTTTTTATCTTTTAGACACACACACACTCATCTACACTTGAGTTACACATGCACACTTCTTCACTCTAAAACACACACACACTCACTCCCGGCACTCACACACACAGCCACTTAACAACCCCACATGACTCACCATTTTCAAATGCAAACACATGTAAAAAAATGTTTCATACAAATTAATAATTTTGTTTGCCTCCCCCCAAGTTTTTAAGTGATTTCAAAATTGACCCGCTAGTGTTTTTACACATGAAATTTCTATCAGTAGTCTCACTAATACATTAGTAACGGGGTACACATACCCAATATATGCTCACAGACATCATGACTATGAAAGATTTAATTTAATTAATCCTTTAATAATTTCACATTATTATAATTTAACCCACAAAATTATGTTCATATGCATGCAATGCATGATTGGGTCTCACACTGTGCCTATCGTCGCCCAGCTCACCGTTGTCGCCTAACTTGCGCTTGAGCTCATCAATGCCCTGGTTGGTGTTGCCCAGCCCAGCATCGANTGTGCCTATCGTCGCCCAACTCACCGTTGTCGCCTAACTTGCGCTTGAGCTCATCAATGCCCTGGTTGGTGTTGCCCAGCCCAGCATCGACTCCCTCCCAGCCGGTATTGACCGCTCTAGCATCACCCTCCCTCATGGAGCCCAAGCCACCACCGTCGCCTAGTACGTTTAGCCCACACCTGCCGGCACCAACCGTTTCACGCGCACCTGCCCATCGCTCACCACACGTTAGACTGGCATCGCCCAGTCCCCCAAGAATGGCGTCACCATCAGCCTCCATGTCTTATCTCCTTTTAGCGAGATCGCTACAAAGCCTCCACCTGACTCGCCACTACCAAGGAGCCCACCCAACTTGGCCTGGGGCTTCACCAAGGCGTCGTCCATGGCATTGCTCGATGTCGCTCTACGTTGCCTGGGGATTCGCAGTGTCGCCCATGGCTTCACCTAGCGCAGCCCTTGGCTATTCCTGGCCTTGGGTTGACTTCTCTCCACTAGCACTTAGACCAAAGATGACGACCCCACTAGCGACGCCTGTGCCCATCCTGCCTTCGCTGACGCCTGGATCACCCATACCAAATAAGGCGCCACCCTTTCCTTATTCACTATCAGCGCCACCACCTACCATGGCGCTATGAGACTCTCTCTCTGTACTCCTCTCTCTCTGTGATTTCGCAATAGAACCTCCAACTACCATGACCCCGTCGCCATCAGTACTCCTTACTGATACTCCACCTGAAGTTTTCAATTCACTTCTCTTGTTCTTCATAGAGATTCCCCTCTTCGCCTCCTCCCTTGTCTCTATACTCACCTCCTTCAAGGTTACCCAATGATTTATGGAATGNGGTCAAACACATTGACCGGGGCCCCATTTTTACACATTTCGACACCGAATTCTAAAAATTGCACTTCTAGCATTCCATACATTTCGTATTGGGTATCATATTCATTTGCATTCGAAAGTCATATTATCACATCAAGAATCATTTTAAAATGTTGCATACAAAATTTCAGGTCATTTGGATAAAAATTCACACATGTGATAATACTATTTAGAAATCAGGTTTCGGTATTACCGGTACCCCTTCCTAACATCTATTGCATTTTTTTTTTTAAAGCCGCCACACTTAACTCACAAACCACATCTAAGCATGCAAAGAAGCCCCTNATTGAAGGGGGGAGATAGTAATTTCAATCCCTAAGTTCTAAAGGGGAATACAATGGGTTTGCCAAGAAATGCACTTTAAAACCTAAGGGAAAATGCCTAGGTAAAAGAGGAGACCTCACCGTTGATTTTACCTAAATATTGGAATATAGCCGTCGGAACAATAGGTTTTCAACTACAAGGATTATCAAATCAAGAGAACGAGCTCTCATGGTGTAAACAGAGCAAGAGATTGAAAAAACTACCATCGTGCAAGACAAGGTATCTTTTTCAGGTAAAGAAGCTACCATCATGCAAAATAAGAAACCATCATCTGTCCAAAGACTCTCATGCCCTCAACGTCTTGCCACCTTAAGGGCTTGTGGCATGGGGGGCAAATGATGAGCCTAAATTCAACTNATTTCAAGTTTCCAAGGGAAAGTTATTGCTATTCCACTACAAGGTATGTCGTCTGCCTTTTTAAGACGAACATAACTTCTAGCCTTCCTATTCTTCCAAAACTTCACCCAAATTCCCTCAAATGCATTCTAAATTGGTTACCCATGAGCATCTAAATGTAACCACACTTCAGTTTATTTTTTTAGTGTAATTTAAATGCACTTCTCTAATAAAATCTACACACCCTACTCAAATATGTGAATTCATTTATCAACTTATGCCTTCATGAAACCATAACACAAAACTTTTATTCCTACTACTATAGCTTTCCTTGTCTAGCTTACTATACCCTCGTATATAAAAAATAAGGCTTAAAATAATGTAAAGATTCTGGTATCATAAGCTAAAAATTAAAGCTTACATATTAATCTAGCTACATGGTTGATTAATCACGAAGAACTATGTTTCAGTAGCTATATTAGATAGAGTGGTCCTTACTTATGAATCATCTCCTAAATCATTTATTGTACATCATGAATCATGGAATTTAGATTATCTCTATAACTCTTAAAATAAAACAATCTCCTTAATTTTACTGTAATTGAGTAATAAAATTAAATTGAACATTGAAGATAACTTACAGCAAGCCCTATGCAAAGACCAACTCTATTCATGGTTTGAGCTAGAAACCCACTAATTCTCTCCTTCCTTGCTTTCGGTTTAACACACACACACACACACACACACACACACACACACACACACACACACACATATATATATATATACACACACACACACATATATATATATATATATATATATATATATATATATATATATTAGTTTCTACTCTCTTTCTCTCTTAGTTTTTCTAGCAAAGCCAGAACACACACACATACATTGTTTTTATCTTTTAGACACACACACACACATCTACACTTGAGTTACACATGCACACTTCTTCACTCTAAAACACACACACTCACTCCCGGCACTCACACACACAGCCACTTAACAACCCCACATGACTCACCATTTTCAAATGCAAACACATGTAAAAAAATGTTTCATACAAATTAATAATTTTGTTTGCCTCCCCCCAAGTTTTTAAGTGATTTCAAAATTGACCCGCTAGTGTTTTTACACATGAAATTTCTATCAGTAGTCTCACTAATACATTAGTAACGGGGTACACATACCCAATATATGCTCACAGACATCATGACTATGAAAGATTTAATTTAATTAATCCTTTAATAATTTCACATTATTATAATTTAACCCACAAAATTATGTTCATATGCATGCAATGCATGATTGGGTCTCACACTGTGCCTATCGTCGCCCAGCTCACCGTTGTCGCCTAACTTGCGCTTGAGCTCATCAATGCCCTGGTTGGTGTTGCCCAGCCCAGCATCGACTCCCTCCCAGCCGGTATCGACCGCTCTAGCATCACCCTCCCTCATGGAGCCCAAGCCACCACCGTCGCCTAGTACGTTTAGCCCACACCTGCCGGCACCAACCGTTTCACGCGCACCTGCCCATCGCTCACCACACGTTAGACTGGCATCGCCCAGTCCCCCAAGAATGGCGTCACCATCAGCCTCCATGTCTTATCTCCTTTTAGCGAGATCGCTACAAAGCCTCCACCTGACTCGCCACTACCAAGGAGCCCACCCAACTTGGCCTGGGGCTTCACCAAGGCGTCGTCCATGGCATTGCTCGATGTCGCTCTACGTTGCCTGGGGATTCGCAGTGTCGCCCATGGCTTCACCTAGCGCAGCCCTTGGCTATTCCTGGCCTTGGGTTGACTTCTCTCCACTAGCACTTAGACCAAAGATGACGACCCCACTAGCGACGCCTGTGCCCATCCTGCCTTCGCTGACGCCTGGATCACCCATACCAAATAAGGCGCCACCCTTTCCTTATTCACTATCAGCGCCACCACCTACCATGGCGCTATGAGACTCTCTCTCTGTACTCCTCTCTCTCTGTGATTTCGCAATAGAACCTCCAACTACCATGACCCCGTCGCCATCAGTACTCCTTACTGATACTCCACCTGAAGTTTTCAATTCACTTCTCTTGTTCTTCATAGAGATTCCCCTCTTCGCCTCCTCCCTTGTCTCTATACTCACCTCCTTCAAGGTTACCCAATGATTTATGGAATATTGAAGGGGGGAGATAGTAATTTCAATCCCTAAGTTCTAAAGGGGAATACAATGGGTTTGCCAAGAAATGCACTTTAAAACCTAAGGGAAAATGCCTAGGTAAAAGAGGAGACCTCACCGTTGATTTTACCTAAATATTGGAATATAGCCGTCGGAACAATAGGTTTTCAACTACAAGGATTATCAAATCAAGAGAACGAGCTCTCATGGTGTAAACAGAGCAAGAGATTGAAAAAACTACCATCGTGCAAGACAAGGTATCTTTTTCAGGTAAAGAAGCTACCATCATGCAAAATAAGAAACCATCATCTGTCCAAAGACTCTCATGCCCTCAACGTCTTGCCACCTTAAGGGCTTGTGGCATGGGGGGCAAATGATGAGCCTAAATTCAACTGGGTCAGGCCTAATAAATCAAGTAAACCCAAATCAGCTAAATGGCAAGTCAAACTCAGTTCGTGAATCCAACCTAGCCCAAAGTCCAAGGAGTCCAAGAACAATTAGAGCGCGTGGGGAGCAATTATTGGGATACTCACTCTCGAAGATTAAGACAATATTAAATTGTACTTAACTTTTGTAGTTCCCCTAAAAACTATTACCTTTGCCTTCAAGTCACCGCCTTAACCAAAGCTCTGTCCCTATAAATTATAAGCTCTCTCTACATGAGGGGGCATGATCTCTCTCTACAACCTCTCTACACACCTCTCACATAGCTTTTCTCTCTTCTAACTATTTTACCTTTCCCAGAGCTAACAATTGCTCTTTTTCTCTCTTTCATTCACCTTACTTCATTAATAAAGGTTTTTCAACTACCGTTGCCATTTTCTAGAGAGGAGTAGGTCATCCGGACCGAATCACTATATATTTGTGTGTTGACCCAATATTTACCTTTTTACCATTATTAATTACCTCATTAATTTCCTTGCATCATACACTCGACTGTTGATCTTGTATTAGTCTATTTTGTGCATCATCACCCTCGTTCACCCCCAACAACCATTAACTTTATTAACATATAAAAATGAAGTTTATTATGTGAGCTATGCAATATTTAAGATTTATATAAAGTTTAATTAAGGTGATTATGGTGTTTTTTATGTAATGAAAGGTTGTGTTTTATTGATTGGTATATTTTTGTTCCAGGCTCCTCAATCACTGAGGAGCAAATCGATCTTTTCACATGAGAAGGTTATTGATATTTTGATTTTTAGAGTTGGTAAGTATGATTCTTTTATTTTTTTTTAATTGAATTTATGCTCCTTTTGATAAAGTAGAATTCATGGCTTGTCACTAAAATTGAGAATCAAATTTTACAATTTTAATTAACTTTGTCATCGAATTTCAATTCAAAGGCATAAATGATTTACTATTTTTTATTGTTATTTATTTATTAATTTTGATATTTTACATACCACTACGTACATATACTAGCAATGCACGACTAATAAACATATATATGACTTTACGTCTTTATATACATACAGAAAAGTATATGTAATTGTACTACTAATAAATGAGTTTAAAAAAATTTAGAAGTCTTTATAAAAGAGTCCAAAATAAGTTAAAAGTCAAATAGGAGTAAAAAAATAAAAATTAGATGAAAATATATAGGTGGGTATAATTAACTATAGTATAATAATTAGGAATAAAATAGAAAGCCAAAAGTTTTTCACAAATGCTAATATTTATAAGTAGTATAAATAAATATAAATATAGATATAGATATTTGGGTGTGAGACCATACCATAAAAGTCAATAGTACTTTGTGGCCACTTAAGAGAACAACAAAAATCTTATACTTCAAAAGTCTTAATAATATTTCTAGGTTGTTGTATTTACATGATTATTTCAAAAAATTATAAAAATAAAATTATAATTATAATTATAATTTAAAATAATTAATGTGCAAAGCACGTGTGCATAATCTAGTTGTTCAAGTGTCAATAAATTCTTACGTTCAATCCAAGAAAAATAACAATTGAGATGACAAATATAAAGGGAATGAGTCAAACTGTAATTGAAATAATAAATAATAGAGCGTCTTGAATAAAAATAATAGGACCATAACCACCACCATATCATCAACATATCATTTAATCTATTTTTTTAATAAGTCTAGCACTATCCGAGAATATTTCTATTATTTATTTTTTTTTGAGGAAGGGGAGGGATATTTAGGAGTTCAACTTTGGCGGGTTGGGCGGGTTAAGGGGTCAACTCTAGTCCAATTTTAAGTATATAATCTTCGACTCTAACCCAACCTCAACCCAAGGTACTTAACCCGAGTACTACTCAAGTTAAATTCGGGCGAACTCGGGTTGAATTCGGGTTAGACTCAAGTTATTAAATCGGGTTCAGTTTTGGGTTGAATTCGGGTTCAATTTTGGATTTAATTTGGGTTCAATATGGTAGCAACTTATTCAATTAATATGAAGAAATTGAACAAGAGAAAGAAGTAGAAATCTAAACAAAAAAATGCAAATCCAAAAAAAGAAACAGAGATCTGAACATAGTGTTTAATGTAATGGCATAAATTTATTCAATTAACACAAAAAATTGAACAACAAAAAATTAAACAGAGATCTTCTCCAGATTTGTAGTTAACTTCTTCAGATTTTCCACCACAACCACTACCCATTGCAACTTCCACTGTCATTGTCACCACAACCACTACCTATAGCCACTGCCACTACCACCATTACCATTGCCCATTGCCACCACAGCCACCATGTCACTACCCACACAGCCGCCACACCGCCACCAGATCTGACCATCATTGTGGCCTTTGGCACCATAGCCACTAGATCTCCACCACACCACAGACATTTTCCACAAAGCCACCAAATTTGAGATGCATCGTTGTGGTCTTTGACACATAGAGAGAATGAGAGGGAGGCCGAGAGAGAGCCAAAGAGAGGCTGAGAGAGAGAGAAAACGTTGTGAACGAGAGAGACAGAGAGAATGAGAGAGGCGATGTGCTTTGATAACCGTAGTGCTAATGTTTTATATATATATATTTATAATTGTTTTTAATTTTTTGGGTTCGGGATAAACCCGAAAATCCGAGGCATCAACCCAAGGCCTGCCCGAATTCAATTAGGGTTAGGATTTTTTGACACAGGGTCAACCCAAGTATTAAAAATTTCAACCCAAGCCCTATTTTTTTGGGTTGAATTCGGGTTGGCCCGCCCAAGTTGCACCTCTACGGGAGACTTGAACCTTTGACCTCAAAGAGATAAAAATTTCACAGGACAAAGAGTACCATTAGACCAAAGGCTCATTGATAAATTCGAGAATAAAATATCCTTCAGACCATCCTTTATTTTTTTTTAGCCAAGTATAAATACCCATTTTCAATAAACTCGGTCATTGAACTCAAGTTTACTCGATGATTGATGTAGGAAAATCTTTTACTATTTTTTTTTCATCAACATGCAAAGATAGAGCACACATAAATCTGCTAAATGCACGTATCATTAAAATGTGGGCATTTTTTTCTATATTTTGAAATTTAAAAAGTTATGTATTAACTTAATTGCATTATTTTATCCATAATTATTATCATAAAGTTAAGTATATTCTCATATTTATTTGCATCTATCTTTTATTTTGTATACTTATTTGACTTCTAGGTTCTTTTAAACACTTTTATAAGTAGTATTTGACTTCTAAGCTCTTTTAGATTCTTTTTTAAATAGTATTTAACTTACCAAAATGTTATTTGACTTCTAGACTCTTTTAAACTCTTTTATAAGTAAGACACTTACATATAATTTTTTATTTTTATATTTATATCTATACTAGTTATAAAAGGAAGGTAAATGTAAAACTTTTGAATAACTAATTTATTCTTTAAAGTCATGTATATCCTCTCAATCATTATAGGAAAGCCCTGTACTCTATCCCTCTCCCTTCTCCACAGAATAAATGCAAAATCCAAACCGATGTAACCCCTCCCCCTAAGCCCTTACTCCCATCGTTACAGCAAAATTCCACCGCCACCTTCCACCCCCGCCGGTCTAGATATAAGCCGACTCCTCAGGTATCAGCCGATGTTTTTGTCGTCTGGGGGCATCCATGTCAGTGGCTTCGTAGTGGCGTTGGTGTTGGCTTTGTTCAATGGAAGTTGAAAGCGCAATCCTTCTACAGTAACTGATACATAATGTCTCAATCATCAGTTACCAATTCCAATAATTGTTGCCCTCACTCCTTCTGCCTTTACGTATTCTGATTCTTAGTGTATGAATTTACAATGCCTATATCAGTAATCAATTTGGGTTGTAGCAATTCCTATACACCCAATTGCAATTTGATTCACTCTCTCCATTGGAAACACACATTCCGCCTGTCTTTCTATTTTGGACCTAGCCCTGGATATCTTGATATTGCTATTTCGCATGGATATGCTGCTTGTTCTTACCTTCTGTGTTGATTCTCTTCATACGTAACAAAGCGTGGAAGTTTGAGCTTGTTGAGGTTTAACAGCTTCTTAGTTCTGTAGATCACTCAGGTTGGTCTCTCTCCTTCTCTGATCTTTTATTGTTTTATGTAAGTTTTATGGTATTTGGGTTATTGGTGTTTCACCTCCTTGTTCTTCATTCTGTTGTTGAATTGGTTTGTGTTTTAAACTTGATGCATTGTTCTCGATGTTTTCATTCTTGCAAATTCTATTACAACTTTGAAACAATATGTCTATTAAATTGTTGTTCTCTTTGTTTGTCTTGTTTTCCACAATAAAAAAGGCAGTAGGAAAAAGAATAATTGATTCTCTGGAACATTAGGTATCCCCTGATTTTGTACCCCTGCATGGTACCCAAAAAATGTTACAATTTCAGAAGACATAAAAGTTCAAAGAGGCAATTATCTAAGCGCATCAAACCATACAATCAGCATATAATCTGTGAAAAGTTATGAATATCTATAATTTTCTCTTACAATATATTCAAATTAAAAAATCAATAAACCATCACATCAAAACAACGGCCCAAAAATTATCCCATTATTTGTGATAGGTCTATCGTCAAAAAAGAAAAAAGCTCAAATTCAAGAATTCTTCTTACTAAATTAAGCACACCAGACAACTTCTCCTTTCCTCTCAGATCCTCCCCTCTCTTAGGCTCAATCATAAAAGCCTACCATTGATTTGCACTTTTTCGTGATCGGATTAATATTATACACCTAAGTATAAGTGGTCAAATTATAGTTTTCTCAATTTTAAGTCCAAGTATCAATCCCATGAAGAGTTTTAATAATTTGGAAATGAAATAAAAATAGTTAAGTTTTTAATTC